CAACTTTTGAATAGGTAAGAAAGTATGTTTAATTAGTAAAATTATGTGTAAATGGACAAAAACCAAAAACTTGGTTTCTGAGACATTTCTCAACAGCCAGAAGTATTTGAGACGTAAAACACAGCCTCCTGAGATGAGAAAAGTGTGCTGAACAACTTTACATAAGAGGTCAAATAAGGTTTATTTAGTAAAAAGTTGAGAAATAATCAAATGTTTTTTGGTAGTTTTGGTATAAATAATCTACGGAAAGAGTTGCTTTATTTAATTTAAAAAAGGTAATTTTAAATAGATAATTATTATATTTATTATTAATATAAGTATGGATTGGGTTATAGTAGATTTTCCAAAAAAGAAAAGAATATGTTTTATCTTATTTAATACCTAATTTAATATGAACAAATAATATAAGTTTATGTGCAATAATTATTCTTGTTTACCAGTCTGTATATAAATCAGTAATAAGTTAAATTTTTTTAAAATAATACTAATTTTTTTGCAACTATTTTGTAAATAAAATATATTAATTTTATTAAAGACTTTAGACATATTTTGAAATATTATTTAAGTTTCTTTATTAAAATATTTGTAGTATTTAATAGTAATATTGTTAATATTAAGAATTTTATATATTTTAGATTATAACTTTTAATGTACTAAACCAAATTGGATGAAACAATTACTATTGGATTTAGCTTACTGAAATGGTTCTAATAAGTACAAAAATATGTAATTCTAATTACAAGATTATAAGATCAAAACAATTTTGATAAAAGTATTAATTTTTATACATATGACTTGATTCTGATTGTTTTCTATTACTGTGCTAAAAATCTTATATTTCTTATAGATCTTACAAATTTTATAGATATTACAGATAATATATTTTTATTAAATTTATTATTTATATCTTTTATATCTATTATATATATTATATCTATTATATGTTTAGTTTTTATATATTTTAAGATTACTATATATAGTATTTATTAGCAATAGAGTAGTTTTTATTGTAATTATTTATATATATAAAATATCTATAAAAGTACTGCTTTCTAAGCTTTCAAGAAAATTAAGTGTTTTTACACTTTATATAAGTGTTTTTATATACTAAAAAGTATTTTTATACATTTTATAATAAATAAAATAAATGCAATATTTAGTATTTTTATATACTATCTATTGTTGTCTTTGTCATCAAATTTCAAATTACTCTGTATATTATTAAGACTTACTGTAAACTTAGTATAAAATCTGTTAAGTTATAGTTATTATATTATAGTTGAACAGTTTCTGTTATTGCTATAATAAATAAAAAAACTACAGATTAACAATATTAAGAATTTGAATAGAGATATATGTTGATGAATTTTTAGTAGTTGCAAAGTTAAGATTAAAGAAATTTTGTTAGAGTTAATAATATAATCAAGTCTTTGTATAAATATTTTAGTAAAATATTTTTTTATTAGTTTTATTATTAAAATTAGACAAATTTGATTAAGTGTAAAGTCCTATAAAGACTTTTTTAAAATAAGAAATATATTGAATATTTTCTAATTAGATGAGATTTTTTGATGTTTAAAATATTTATTAATAAATAATTTAAAAGAAATTTAATCAGTAGAGTTTATATATTTAATATGTTTATAGTTTGTTTTAAGAAAGTTTGTAGCTTTTTGATGAAAAAGATTTAGAATATTATTTTGTTATTTATCATTAGAAATATTATTAAATAAGTTTTAATAATAAATTTCAAATTCAAGATAAGATTAGTAAAGTTGGTAATAATCAAATATAGATTGACTTTGCTAAAGAGATTTTTTATTAAAGTATTTAGTAAAGTAAGAGTAAATAGCTTATTTAATATAATTTTTTTTAGTTAATAAGAAATTATTTGTTAAAAGCCTATTAATATATATACTATTATATTTTTCAATAATGTTTTTAAAGAATTTTTAGAATATAATTAAAATAGTTGATTGTGATTCTTAATTTTTTGTTATTTGCTATTAGTAAAAAATATTAAGTATTAGCTTAATTTAAATAAATTTTATTTAATTGTAAAATGGTTTTTATTATTATTATTATTATTATTATTATTATTATTATTTAAGACCAATGTTATCAATAGCTACTGTCTTTATTTGTGTTTTTGGTGAATGCATTACATGTGATTTGTATAAGATAAGTGTGCAACTAGCCACATGTGTAACTTTTGGTTACCTATTTAAGTAGTCTACTCTAGGGTTCTATACTAACTGCTATGTCTGTAATCTACTAGAAGAATATCTATTTAAACACTCTGATCCTTATACTACACTAGGCAAGTAACATCTAGTTCCTATACAACTAAGTGCTATCTAACCCAATCTTTAGCCATCCTTTTTTGTATATCTATCAAGCTGTTAAACATTCCAGAATATGTCACCTGACTGTAAGGTTCTGGGGTACCCCCTTGTTAACTACCTACCTACTTTATGAAACATTAACAAGACTAGCTCTTGTAGAGTTCACACAAACTCCAGCATCTACTTCATAGCATATCCCTAGTACTTATAGTATATCTCTGCTTTGACCTTAGACTCTCAATCAAAATAACTCAGTAGGACTGTAACCTATTCTTGGTATATCAAGCCATCCTGATATCCTTTTTCTCCAGTCTGATTCTGGCAGCCTGGTTGGTAGTACCCCTCACCTAAGGTTCTTACCTATCTGGCTCCTTCACATTGGTATCTGTTTCTTAAGTCTAGCCTTTACAGTGGTACTGTCAAAGATCTGTGTTATCTCTCTACTCAGATTGTTTCAAGTAAGCTCTGGTTTTTCAGTTTTACAGATTTATACAGCCATAAGAACTTATCTTAGGTTTGCACTACCCGGTTCCAGTTTGCATTCCTTTGTGTAACCAAGGTTACACAGATGCCCTGTGACCTGCCAGTTATGCTAGTATAACTATAGTTATAGGTATTCTATCCTAACTGATTGACAGAATGCTATCACTATAATACCGTTTATGTATTACATAGATGATTATTTAAATTTTCACTGTCAGTGGGTTTTGAACTCACAACCTACCACTTGGAGGTTGACAACTTATCTACTTCACTAAGTCGCCACACCCCATTGTAGAATATAAATTATTAGAAATTTAAAATTGATTAATAAGATTATCTGAATATTTAATTTTGTATTTATAAAAATATTATAAAAATTAGATAATTGTAAGTAGTTTTTAAGATATTGTATTTGTTTATATCTATAAAAAAATAAGTGTCATTTGAAAGGTTTGTAAAATTTAATTTTCTGAATTGTTTTAATATTTTTATAAAGAATTTTTTTTAAAGCAGCTTTAATAAGTACTTTTAATATTTATTTCAAGTTATATTGAGTTTATTTTGATTAAAGATATTAGAAATTTGGTTTTGTAGTTAACAAAGACTTTATAATATTTGATTAAAATAATTTTAAGATTTTTCTTAAAGTAAGATTTTTAAAAAAAGTATTTTCTTATATATTATTTTGAAGGTTTTGTTTTATTTATAGTAATAAAAATTTTAAGAATAATAATTTTATGATCAGATTTAGATAAAGAAATTATTTAAATTTAACTTCTAGTAAATTTCACTAGTTATGTAATTTAGCTTGTAACATATATTACACAAACATGCTTTATTATATAAATAATTTCAAATATCAAATAACACTATTGCAAAGAAGGAATGAAATTCATTGCATACTATTATTTAAAGCAAGAAATAAGCTAACTCTTTGAAACTTAGTAATAAACAACTTAGATCAAAGACAGGAAATGCATTAGTAAATGTGTTTTGCAAGAGTACCATACTAAATTCTTTAAAACTTGGATTAAAGAGAGGAAGTCCATTAGTAAATACATGTATAACAACACTATACTAATGTCTTTTAAAGCTCTTTTTACATTAAACACCTTAGTAACTATTTTGTAAAGTTTAAATTTTAAGTATTTCACTAGATTAGTATTTGCACTTATGTGCTTTAGAATTTTTCATCTGAAAACTTTAATTGCTCAACTTATTGTTACAGTTAATAAATTTTAACCAGATGCATCTTTCTTAAATATTAGTTTATAATGAATATACCAGTATATATTATATCTGAAAGCATTCTCAAAATTGATTCCCATACTAGTACACAATCAGTGTTTGACTATAAAAAAGGTAAAACTAATGCACAGTATATTGTACTGAATGATACCATAAATGATGCCATGGATGATGCCATGAACAATACTATGAACAATATTACAAACAATACTACAAATGATACTACAGACAATATTACAAAAAATACTATGAATATAAATGATGTAATAAACATAAACAATGCTGTAAATTGTGCAATAAGTATAAATGATGCTGTGAGTGATGCTATGAATAATGCTATAAACAATGCTATGAGTAATGCTGTGAACAATTTTATGAATAATGCCATAATTAACAGTGCACAAATTCAACTCTTTGATATTACTTGTTATATATATTTGTTTAAACCAAGGTATCAGGATAATCTTTAAGATGTTGATTACAAGATATATCTTGTAACTAACACTTAGAAGGTTACTCTGGCTAGTTTATTTTCTAGAAAATTTGTAGTATTATAATAACTTACTTAATACTAATCTGTTATGATTTTCTTCAGATTGTTTTAGTAATGACTCTGATATGCTTATATCAACTTACTAGTATAATCTTAAAGTAAAAGATGCTTTTGATAACTGGTTATTTGTTGATACATTTATTTACCAATATTGTTTTGAATGAGTTTCAGATATCAAAGTTTTCATAATAATAAAGACCCAAATAATCCTTTTATTAGTTACTGAAAGTCTTTTTATTGCTTATCTAGTGGAATACATAAAGCTCAAAAAAATATTGATCAGAATTTACATCATTTACATAGTAATAAAAAGACTAATTGTAAATAGCATTGTAATTTTATATTTTCAAAAACAACTAAACAAATAACATGCACAACATTAGAAGACAATCATAATTATGAATTAAACCCTGGTCAAGTAGCTGATATTATTTCAAGATATTACTAGCTGAATAATAAAATGATTTATAAATTAAATTTTTTTACTAGTTGTAAAGTAGTGCTAATTACACAGTTAGAGATACTTAAGAAAAAGTATCCAGACTATGTTTTTTATAAGCAAGACATTTATAATGCAATTTATAAAAATTGTAATAATAGCAATAAAATGAATTTTGATTCTGGCTTATTTCTTAATACTGTACTTGAAAAAAAACACAAGATGCAGATTGGAAGGTATTTGTTTAGCATAGTGATAATGAATGTCATATGTCAGGTGTTTTTTGAATGTTTCCATCATAGCAAAATTTGTATCAGCAATTTCATGACATTGTTTTAAATAATAATACATATAAAACTTATAAGTATAACATGTATTTAAGTGTATTTATGATAAGGAATAATTATGGAAGGTTCAGAATTATGATGAATGTATTAGTAAAAAATGAATTGGCATCAATATATAAGTGAATTTTGCAATGTTTAATGATGGTGACTGATAATTTTGTTTCAAAATCAATTTGAACAGATTCTGAACTAAGGTTAATAAATGCAGTTTTTCAGATTTTTCAAAAGACAAAATCAGTTTTATTACATTTTTCACATTTAGCAAAACATAATTAAACACCTTAAAGTGAAGTTAGGTTCAAAATTTCACTCCTTTAGCCAGGCATTTTATTTGTATATAAATGCATTAAGTATAGAGTTATTTAATCATCAATGAGAAAATATGTTAAAATCATTTTCAAAATGCTATAATTATATGACTAGAGCATTATACAATAATCAAATATGTTAGGTTAAAGCCTTTACATCATTTTAGTTTAATGCAGATATACAAAGTACTCAAAGCATAGAGTTATTTAATGGTATTATAAAAAAGGCTTTAAATAGTGCTAGTACACTTTGTAACATTGAAAAAATAATTAATAAAAGACATAAAGATGAATCTCAGTATTGTAAGCTAATCAATCTTAAGAACCAACAAATGATTATTAGTTTTCTACATATATCATCTTAATTTTTTCAAGTGTTGATACAATTTTTGTTCAGTTTTTAATACTGCCTATACTATTATAGCAATAATTTCAAATATCTCAATCATTTACTTATGAAGATTTATTAGTTTCCTTTCCTATTAAGGTAAGATAATTTTATTATTTATTTAGTATGTTTAAAGAGCAATAATTATGTGCATATAATATACTACAATGCTATATTTATTTTATAAATTTCAGAATCAAAAACTATTAATAACAATTTCATAAAGGATGTATTGGATAAACTACAAGCAACTTTATAATCTTTATTAAGTAGTATGAAAGCTAAAAATATAATTGAAACTTAGAGAATTTATCATATAGGTGGCCTTTTATATAAAAAGAATTTGGTAACATTATTTGTTGATAAAACATATATTTATACTTGTATAAAAACTATTACAAAAGGCATAATTTGTTAGCATTTTTGGCATATTATGCTTTATTCACATTTTGCAAGATTTTACATAAGCATGATATCTATCAGATGGTATAAAAATAGTATTCATACTAAATTAGATTTTAATATTAAAAGTTCTTCTATTCTTGTTGCATTAGAATCACCTCCCAATAGTTCTTTTTAAATAAACTTTGTTTTTTAAAGTATATTCAGTTTTGATAAACTTAATTGTAATAAAATTGATTACAAATATATTTCACAAAGAAATTGATATAGAATTGCCTTTTTAACTGCCAAAGTTGCTATTAATATTGCTTTAGAAACTAATAAAGATGCTAAATTGGTTCAACTACTGAAAGATTTTATTATAGCAAATTAAAGAAACATGATACTGAAGAAACAAAGAAATTAGTAGTGTAGAGAATAATAACTCTAATCAAGATCAGGAAACTAGTGAAGTAATTCTATTACAATAGCATTTAACCAATCAAATAACTAATTTTCAAGTTACTAGAATCTGTAATGCTTCTAACAAGAAAAGAATTAAAGCTGTTACAAAAATATCAAAAAAAAAGTATTAAATAAAGTTATGAATATTGTTTAAGAAGCTGATAATAGTGAAACAAGCTCAAAACAATAATGCAAGTGTTTATTATGCAAAAAGCCTGGCCATTATTAAAAAAAATGCCTATTTGTTAATGTAACTAATATAACAAAATAGGTAACATTAATACTTTTAATAGACAACTAATTGTAGAATTAATTTACCATATTAGCTATATATATTATTCTTTTAAAGTTTAGGGTTAGGATATTAATTATAAAAGTATTTGTTTAATCTAATTAAGAGAAGTGGAGGCAACAGTTGAAGTGTAACATCAACTTTTTTAATATATTAATTATATATACATTATTATCTGTTCTAATATTTAGGCTTGAAGTATTAAAATATTAACATTGTTGTTTTAATACAATTAAGCAAAGCATTTACACTTATGATTTGTTATATCTATATATTAGGTTAACTTTATTGTATTTAATTTATTAGTAGTTATATCATATATAATATAATTATATGATCTGGTAAAACTCACTTCTGATAAGTAATAAAATTTTCTTTAAATAAAATATTTTTAAAAATATTAGTATATTCAATTTAAAATATACTTAAATTTATCTATCTTTAGTTAATTTTACTGTTAGAAATTAAGTAAGAAAAAGTAAAGTTTGATGTTAAGAAAAAGAAAATTGAGATATGTCTTTATTATTATTATTATTATTATTATTTATATAATATCATAGTAGAAACTTTAAGATACAATAAAAAATTTAATTACAAAAAAAAAATTCCTAAAATAAAGATTTCTAAACTACATTTGTATTGCTAAAAAGACACTTAATATGATATT